AGAGGAGAGTCTCTTCCCAAAAAACATAACAACAAAAAAATCCAGTCTATGGGTCTTTACTCATTTACCAGGTCCATTATATGAAAGTGTTCCCTTCTTGGTTGCAGAGAAATGAAATATATCTACTTCCAGATGAAGAACTCAGCTCACAAAATTAAATACTTTTATTCTCCTAATTCCTTAAGACCCTGAAAATAGGTAGGGTGCTATAATGTGATTCCAAAAATCAGCATTAAAATATTCCTGGCTCTATTTCAATGTCCCCATGTGTATATATCTAGAGGTTGAGGCCAAAAGATTTTTCAAATAGCTTTTCTCAAAATATTTCAGACAGACAACCCTGTCATCATTAAAATGGCAAGTTTCACTGCCCAGAAATAAGGAGCATTTTCAGTTATGTGTCTCACCTCTGGGGTTTTGTTTTCTCCATGTCTGATGTGCTTTTTCATATTTGTTTACTTCTATGACATATTGCAAAACTTGGACAGCAGGATTTTGTTATGGTATGCAGGCATAGCATGCATCCCAGATTTTTAGCACCAAGTATTACTCTACTACTAGACAGAAGTAACAGCTGATTTCTTACAAACAATGAAGTAGCTGATTTCTTACAAATGATGAAGTATCAACATTTTACTGGTAGGCATGGTTTAAAGTTCCACTTAAAAAATAATGACAGACATAAAGAGTGTGCCCTTAAAACCATTGCTGCTCCTAAATCTTCCCTACAGCTTTCAAATTTTCTTCTCTCTAGGTTAGCACTTTTTCTTTTACTGTTATCCTCTCTCTGTGCAGTTTTTGCTCAGGTTTTGAAATAAGCCTTGCAATTTACAATCTGTCTATTATTGGCACTAAATTATTAAATTCTTTCACAATTAAGTCATTTCAATGTCTTGAGAATTTATTAGCTAGGAATTAACTCTTTGTTCACACATTTACTATCTATGTTATAGTCCCCAGAGATTTTCTTCACAGATCTTGTTATTCCATAATGCTAATTGGTGCTAGTGAAGGAAACCTAAATGCCAAGCTATTTTCAGCTCATCTACAGCTATTTCACTAATGAACTTGTACCATGAGCAGAATAAAGCTAGAGCTCCAACAGAAATGAATGTGCTTGGATTTCTCACAAATGCTTCTGTTGAATTGGCAAAAGGGTGCACTTGTAAAATGCATGAACAAATTTCAGCTGGCCAATCAACATCTGTTATAGAGATAAATGTGAGCCAAAATTTCTTGTTCTAACACTCAGCATTTGGCCTAGAAAGAATGATTATTTAAACTTTTCATGGCTAGATCCCAAATACACTTTCAGAGCCAGCTAAAGCAGCTACCAGAGGAGTAGGCCATATTCCATATCTGACTGGAAGGATACTTGTTAGACTTGGTTTATTTTTAGTTCAGTTTTTCAGTTATTTGGATCCTTAATTCTAAATTTTCATTTGCATTATAGTAGTACTTTAAAGAGTTAATAAATTCAATTGTTGCTATTAAAAATTCTATTTAACTGAATATGCAAGTGGTCAGATTCTTTACTGACTTTTGGGTATAAATCCTTGTAGAAGATATGCATATGAAAAGTTTGATAATAAGAAATTCTGACATAAAGTAGAATTTGAATGAATAAAAAAATTTCTGGGTAGATATTAATTTCAAAAACCATATTAAAAATATTAACATTTCAGAAGAAGAGCTCAAAGCTGATAAAATGTCGTTTGCAATATTTTTCCTTTTGTGACATTTTAAAAACTTTCAAATTTCGTGAAAAGGCATTTTCTGGGGATACAGATTCACTCTTCTGAGCTGGTCCCCTGTAAATTTTTTCATTTCCTGAGCCTCTCATATTGGAACAATAGATTGGATGCTGAGCTGCTTTTTCCTGAATAAACCAAGAAAGAAAAACCTTTCCACTGGGAGAAACTGCACTGCCTGCAGTACTCTGTCCTGCAAACTGCATTAAATTATCTTTGAAGGTTATCAGTGTCTGCTGAATATCAAGAGGTGTCACTGTTGAGCAGTAAAAAAACTTCCCCTTTACGGAGTGAATTGCCCTTGTGAGGTTTAATTTCAGCTTTTTTCCTTGCAGGTGTGGAAAGTGGTCTCCAACCCAATGGCCTATTAAGGCTGAAACAACGTCACTTACTGCAGAAAGCACCCATAGAGCACAATGTAAAAATTACCCTTGTTGCAGAGGTCAAGGGTTAAAAAAATATCAGAGGTCTTTCTCAATTCTAACTCCAACATGGAGATATTCTAATTTAGTCAAGCAACAGACAACAGCAATATCTCACCTTCTAAGAATTCTGAAATTGTCTGTTTTAGGAAAATAATGCTTTGAAGGACTACAAGGGAAATGGGCATTATAATCCAACCTCAGGCATGCTAGAAGCTCTGGTCAAGACTGGGGTTAGATCCTGACCATCACATAATTTTGGTGTAATTTTGCATTTATAGACAGGTTTCCTTTGAATTTTAGCTAATACTACCCAGGCATCATATATTTTGAAGTGTCCTTTCTCCTTTTTAAGGACAAGGAAGCTTCTCCCTTATTCATAATTTTGCCAACCCTTATGTCCTACAAACCCTGTTTTTCACTCATGTTACCACCTTAAATTTTCTACACAGAAGCAGATGGTGGGAGAAAAGGGAATTTGATTCATAAAGTGCATTTTTTCCTCATTCCCTGACTTGATAAAAGAAAAATCTGTGCCCTCAGGTTTCGCATAAGAAAAATTCACCAGAACAGGAACCCTGGGATCTCAGGGCCAAAACCATTTTCAAATGCAGATGGAAGGTGTCACAGTGTCACAGTCCTCAGCCAGCCTGAACGGATGTTCCTTTGACTACTGACATCTCTCTGCAAATTCCAATGTAGCTGCTGAACACTTGCTTGTACTTCTCTTTGCTTACCTTGGACTTAATGTTTTTAAAGCTTTCATGTTACAGATAGAATCTCTTTCATCTGCCATGGTGTAAATATAAAGTTTCTCATTCTTAAATTCAAATCCATATTCCTTTTTGAAGGGTTTCATTGAAGACTCTCTTTGCTTGAGGTTATTCTATACCAAGTAGCACATGCAGAAGCTTAAACAGGATAGCATCATTATTAATTTATTAAAATCAGCTTTGGAGTTTTCCATTCTTACTCCCTTTAGATTGACATGAAAACAAAATGAAGTATATTTATGTGAAAGTATATTGATGTTAGAAAATTTAATCTTGATGGTGTATCTTCAAAGGGAAGGAAATCTTCCTCATGGGAAAAAAAAAAAGTAAGACCTTTTTGTCTTTTAATATAGTTATGAGAAAGGACAGAGGTCAAAAGGTTTTCCTTGTTTGTATACAGTTATGGAGCCACAAGTCTCTCACTAAATTGGAAGCTTATAGAAGAAAGTCTGTGATGAAAGCACAGTTTTCTTTCAAATGTTTGTCTTCTTTTTGAAAAGGTACTTTGTTTTCAGCTGAAGAGTTAAATAAAGCTTGAAATACTCAAAAAATTTTCAGCCATAGATAAAGGCAAACATATCTCCCAGTGAAGAAAAGCTTAGTTCTATTGATCTAGTAAGGTCTGGTCAAAGCATAAGATGAATACACTTAGATCTAAAAGGCAACTGTGTGAGAGAGGTTTTTGGCCAGGGGTCAGGGGTTTTCATGGCACACTGACCCTGGAACCTGAATAAACACTGGCAGAGGGAGCAGGGGGGAAAAGAGCCAGTGTTTCATGGTGGTGTTGTCCTATTTTATGAAGGAGCATCAGGTCAGACTATTTATATAAAATGTTTCAATTCTGGTTTAGCTGTACTGAGTTTTAGTCTCTGGACTTCTGTACTTGTAAAAGGTAAATGACAGGGGATTTCCAGGAAGTTTTTCTCTCCTCTACTCCATTTATTAAATATGTCTTTTTGTCACTGATGCCTTATGAACTCAACCCCATGAGTATGAAGGGGCTTCTCAGACACTTCCATCACCAGTTTTGTGTTAGAACTTTACTGTGAGTTACTTGGATGGCCCTTGAACCAGTTCCACTCTCTGTGTGAATTTGCTGCCTTGGTCCTCTTTTGAGAAATAAGGCATTCTGCTACAACTTCAACAGGAGTTTCTCTTCTGAGTGTGGATGCTGATGTGGCTGATCTCTTCTCAACACGGGCAGTCCCAGGTCTCAGTCCTGCAAGCCCAGACAGGCTGATGGCTTTAACCAACTCTCCTGAGATGTCTGCTTGGGGCTAGGCCCGTGTGTGTTTTCCTTGTAGCAAAGGAATGGAGCTTGTTCCAAGTTTGTCAGGTTGCCTTGAGAAAAGGAGAACTTCTGACATGGCAAAACTTGTGAACTTCAGTAGAGACAGGCAAAAATTTGAATACAAGCTTATTAAAACCACTAATTAGAACCCAGGACCATTTCCTATCCCATTACATATATTTTTGTTTATCTCTGAGTTTCCATGGGATCCAGGACCCTGGGAAGCTTAGAGAGCCACATTGCTGAAGAGAGATTACCCCCTTTTGGTGCATTTTATTAATAGACTAGGGTTCATTATGCACTGATGCTACTTCTACCACCAGAGTCTACATTAATAATAAACCAAGCATCATTAACATATGTGCAAGGGTTTTTGGAAGTATTTAAGTTTCATTTTGCATTAAGTGACAACTCCTCTGAAATCACTGTTGTTAAGGATAGTGTTGCACCATGCAGGAGTTGATCAAAGGGGAGACCCTAAAAAATAAGATATCATGTAAGTCAAGAGGTTCATAAGTACTTATTGAATATAGAATTCAGATCCTGCTGAACATAGATCCTGCTGAAGTGGTGCCAGTTAAAACCAGACTGAAGTAGTGGATATGGATGTGAGTATTTAATTTGAGAAACTCATTGTAGAAAAAATTTTGGGGGAGTTTAATATTATGAAAAAAATGTCCTTAGGAGATTTTACATGTGAAAACAGGTTAAGCAGTAGAATTAAAACAATGTGGATGTATGGATTAATGTCTGTGTTTCACAGTGTTCTGCTCTCCAGATCCTCAAGGTGATGCTGGAAACTGAAGAGCGTGGAGGAAAAAAGAACAAAAAAAAGTGGTTTGCAAGGAAGACTGCAAAGTTTGCAAGATTTCCCTGAAGACTTCAATCAGTTTGACTTATAAAATACATGTCAATGAGGCAACTTTCCATGTTTATTCATAGCTTAGAAATATTTGGGAAAAAAAACCAAAACAAAACAACAAAAAGACCAAAACCTGACATCAAGGAGAAGACGCAATCCGTTGTGAGACCTGAAGCCAAATATGCAAAGGAAAAAAATGTTGAAGAATATTCATAGGACTAATATTGAGCAATACAACATACTGTTGAAGGAAATATGGCCTCATGGTCTCATATCAAGGATGCATGTCTTTCCAGAAAATGTGTTTCAGTCAAGCAGAACTCAGTAAGGGTAAAAACAAGGGTGTCTGTTTTAAATTCAGTGACCTATGCTCTACAAGAAATCCAGTTGTATTTATCTCTTACATATAAGCAAAATTACAATAAAGAGTGAAGCATGAATTTTAGAGGTATTCTGGTTTTTCTTTTTTTTTTTATTTCAATAGGTCTTCATGAATTAAGGTTATAAAATAAGTTTTATACTCTAATAACAGGACCCTGCTTTATGGTCATCTCTGGTGCTATGAAAAAATGGCATGGCTATGAAAAAACTCCTTAGAAAGAGACAATCCTGCAGTTAATTGAAATTTGATGTGAGTTAGAGCCTGGATTTACAAAGGTGTTAAGGCATGCTTCTTCTGCTACTCTTAAAAGAGTGCAAACTTCTAGAAGGTTTATGGAAGAGCTGCCTTAGCTCAGTTGGTCATAAGATGGTTCTAATAACACCAGTTTTGGGTTTGATCCCTGTAGGGGCCACTCATTTCATAAGAATTGGACATGATGATTCTTGTGAGTCCCTTCCAAATCAGAATATTCCATGGTTCTGTGAACATAGACCAGAGCTATAGGGGTACCTATGTGACTTGGAAAATCTCAGATGTAGCATTATACAAATATTCTCCCTCTAGATTTTTTTAAAGTCATGTATATCTAAAGTCCTGTGCTGGTGTTCCTTTTTCTGGCTCTGTGAGCCACTAGCCAAGAGTGCCACATCAGTGAAAGCAATATATATATATATATATGAGGCATAATTTGGAAAGCCAAGGAATTCACCGTCTCCAGCATAGTTCACATACAGGAATTACAGTAGTTCCTTGGGAACTCTCTTTGCTCCATTGCAGGAAAGGCAGAATGGCTCTGGATGGGCAGCAACACAGACCCAGCAGCCCAGTGATGGTGAAGTTGCTGCCACCCTTTCTTTCACTGCTGAGCAAAGGACACTGGTGCTCTCTGCTTATGCATCCTGAAGGACAGGAATCAGCATTTGGCTGCACCTGTTATTATTTCTCACAAATTCTTTCCATAAGCAAAGGAACAAAAAGCAAAAATAGCTACTCAAAAGTATGACATAAAATGTTTCTTAATATTTAAATTAAGTTTACAGTATGGCAATATGTACTGCTGATAGCAGATGCAAGAAACAGAGATAGTGTGTTTATTAAAGGTTGTAAAATGGGGGAGATACCTTACATATCCTCAGAAATTATTCTCTTTAATCAAAATAACACATGAGCATCAGTCAAACATAGCAATAAGAAAGTTATTTATCTTAGAATGAAAAAGAAATGATACCTTGAAAATATAACTGATGTCAGCATTGAGGCTGGCATGGACACAGAAAAAAATTGTTCTTCCTTGAGTGAAGAGAAATTGGATTTGTCTCTAAGAATATCTACTACAATCCCTTCATTCTGATTTCTTTTTAAAAGTTCAGTAAAAAGTTTGAATGTTCTTTCTGCTTTTGGTTCCTTTATTTTTTTCTAGTCCAGTAATTTTTTCATTTGTTTTCCTTCTAATTAGAAGAGAGAGTCTTCTCCTTCCTTCCACTATGTCTTTGAAAGAACTAAGAAAAGGCCTGTTTATTTCTGTTGTGCTAATCCCTTTTTCATATGGTTGTGCACAATGCCTAAAATGATGAGAGCATCTGCATGTGGTCTCTGAATATATTTATTTTGACAAGCTCTCAAGAGACGAAACATGGAAATTTCCATATTCTACTTTCTTATCTGTGATGAGTTTCCAATTCCAATCTTCTTTTGTATCCAGCATGAGTTCTTCATTTCCAATGGTAAAAACTTCAGTGGCTATATTTATTTATTTTGTAGTGAACCAAGCGTTCAGTTCTTGCTTCCCTAGGGTTCACATTGGTGAGAAGGGTACAATCGCACGACTGTAGTCTGGGCGGCGTCCCAAGGGCACCTTGTGTGAAGACTTGAGAACCTTTTCCTTCCTGGCTGTGTTACTTTAGACACAGGAGTATGAATTAAATACAATTTTAGCTGAAAGTGAATTTCTCTGCTTTTCATTTAATGAGAATAAAGGAGAAGAGAAAATATTTTGGTTTAAATTAGGTTCTTGTGAGGCAAAAAATAAAACCCCCAAAAAAACAAACATGAAAGCAAAGACCCCTAATGGGCTCTATCATTTTCCACCTTGGACAGATGCTAAGGGCCTTGAAAATTGCTGTCTTTTATATGGTGGTTTGCAGTAAGCCAAATTCCAGCAGGCATTTCCAACAGTCTGAGTGTGTGCACTTACTCATAGTGAGTTGTTTTGACAGAACTGATGAAGTTTTAACATGTAAATTTCTCATTTACCACAGTTCTCAAATGCCAGGAGAATCTACTTGTTGAGGTTTTACCGAATGTCAGCAAGAAGTAGTGTAGAAAACTAGTTGGAGTAGCGTTCAAGATTTTTCCTCCCTAAAGACAGCTAATTGTAAGTAGTCTAAAAACCTCATAGGAAAACTGTCCAATTTCCAGGAGAAAAAATAGCATTGGCTGAATAGAAATCATGTTTTAATATTTTTTTAGTGTCAGCTGTCAAAGACAGCTGATTCAAAGACAACTCTGATTCCAATGTGGGATGAACCATCACAAAACTCAATCAAAATGTGCATTTAGCAATCCAGGCTCTGAGCTGGAGAGTGAGGAATGAGGATAAACTCTGGATTTGCATTGCAACACCAAGTGCATGCACATGAAATACAGTAGAAAAGGTCTCTGATTTACAGCAAAAATGGGTCTGAGAGTTGTCTGGTTGGGTGCAATCTGCTTGTTAGTTAGTGTAGAGAGAATGGTTATGCAGGAATTAGGGCTTCTTCCCCCAAAAAGGCAGTGGAATCAATAACTGAGCTGATGTGTATCTACACCAATTCACAGGCAACAAACAGGAAACCACTGTGCAACAGCAGAACTATGGCATGACTGCCATCACAGAAACATGTTGGGATGACTTGCACAACTGGAATGCTCCAATGGATGGTTAGGAACTCTTCAGGAGGGGTAGGCAAGGAGGAATAATCCTGCATGTTAGGGAAAACTTTGATTGTATAGGGCTTAATGATAGTGTCAATGGCATTGAGTATGGGTAAGAATCAGCAGAAACAAGGAAGATGTCATGGTGGGAGTGTTGTAGACAACCCAACCGGGATGAAGAAGCAGATGAAATATTCTATAAGCAGTTGAGAAAAATCTTACAGTTACTAACCTTGTTCTCACGAGAAACTTCAACCTAACAGATGGAAATGCAGCACAACAGAGAGGAAACAGTCTAGGAGATTCCTGGAGTGTGTGGAATACACAGAGGTGGTAAGTGACCCAGCTAGGGAAGGTGCCCTGCTGGTCCCATTGTTTTTGAACAAAGAAGGACAGGTGAGTGATGGGATGCTTGGAAGCAATCCTGAAATCAGAAAATCAACAGAAATCAAAAAATGATAAGAGTAGTAGCAAAACAGTTACCTTGGACTGCCAGAGAGGAGATTTTGGCCTGTTTAGGACTCTGGTTTGCAGAGTCCATTGCAAGGCTGTACTGAAGCACAAAGAGGAGTCCAGGAAGGCTGGATGTTCTTCAAGAAAGAAATCTTACAGTCGTAGGAGCAGGCTGAAAGATAAGGTGTTGTGGAAGAAGACCAGCCTAGCTGAACTGAGAGGTTTGGCTGGAACTCAGGAAATAAGGGAGAATTTATGAGCTTTGAAAGAAGGGGCACAAACTCAGCAGGACTACAAGGATGTCATGAGTTTATGCAGGGGGATATTAAAACCACCGAACAGAACTTAAAAGACAATAGAAATGGATCTAGAAATACATCAGGAATAAAAGGAGAATCTCCACTCTTTATTGGATGCAGGGGGAAACATAGTGACAAAAGATGATTAAATGATTGCAGTATTTCTTTGCCTCAGTCTTTAATAGTAACACCAAAGCTGTTCTTCAGGTACACAGCCCCTCAGCTGGGAGAAAGGGAGCAGAATGAATAACTCAGTGGAAATTATCTGGTGATCTGCTGCTCTCAGACACATACAGGCGTATGGGATTAGATGATATCTACCCAAAGATGCAGAGTTGGCAGAGGTGCTCGCCAAGCCACTTCCAATCATTTACCAGAAGTCTTGTCTCAGCAAGGAGGTTCCAGTGGGCTGGAGGTTTGCAAGAAGTGCTGGAAGAAAGATCTGGGGAACTACAGGCCTGTCAGCCTGACCTTGGTGCTCGGGAAGGTCATGGAGCAGATAACTTGAGTGCCATCATGCAGCACCTACAGGACAACCAGGGGATCAGAATCAGCCAGCAGGGGTTTGGAAAAGGCTTAACCTGATCTTGACCAACCCGATCTTGACCCAGTACATGGATGAGGAAAAGGCTGTGGCTGGTGTCTACTAGGACTTCAGTAATAACTTTGGCACCATTCCCACAGCATTCTCCTGCAGAAAGTGGCTTTTCATGGCTGGGTGGGTGCATTGTTCATTGGTTAAAAGCTGTCTGGATGGCTGGGCCCAGAGAGTGGTGGTGAATGGAGGTAAATTCTGTTGGCAGCTGGTCACAAATGGTGTCCTGCAGGTCTTAATATTGGGCTCAGTCTTGTTTAATATCTTTATCGATGATCTGGATCAGGGGATTAAATGTACTCTCAGTCAGTTAGCATATGACACCAAGTTGGGTGAGAGTGTTGATCTGCTGGAGGGTAGGGAGGCTTTATTGAGGGATCTGAACAGGCTGCATCAGTGGGCTGAGGCCAATTGTTTGAGTTTCAACAAGGCAAAATGCTAGATCCTGAATTTGGGTCATAGCAACCCCATGCAGTGCTACAGGCATGGGGCAGAGTGACTGGAAAGATCCCTGGTGGGAACAGACTGGGGGTTCTGGTCAACACCCAGCTGGACATGAGCCAGGAGTGTGCCCAGGTGGCCAAGAAGTCCAGGGGCATCCAGGATTGTATCAGCAACAGTATGGCCAGCAGGACCAGGGAGGTGATCCTTGCCCTGTACTGCTGAGCCTGCATCTCAAATCCTGCGCTCAGTTTTGGGCCCCTCACCACAAGAAAGTCATTGGAGCATGTCCAGAGAAGGACAATGAAGCTGGGGAAGGAGCACAAGTGTGATGAGGAGCTGGTTTTTGTTAATCTGGAGAA